ACTTTCTCTATGGCTGGGAACCCATTCCCACCTGGGTGAAGTGAGGAAAATTCGTGTAAAGTGCCTTTTTCAAGGACACAACGCCGGGCCCCTGATGGGATTCGAACCCACGACCTTATGGTTGCGAGTCTGAGAGCCTAACCACTAGGCCACCGACGCCACATAGTTCTGTTCCCTGTGACGGTATATCATACAACTATTCTCTAAATTGTTCCTCTGGAGGGTCTACTATTCTTTTAAGACCAACAAATGTCTCCTCAAAAATTCTTCTATAATTCCCTATAGGTCCAAGTTTGCAATAGACTATCTTCGCTAAGGTACGTTTAGATAGACCAACAAACAAACGAACAGACAACACATAATAAGCATACTCACTCAAAACGGGAGTTGAATAGTTCTTTTGTGGGGGCTTTGGGGCATCTGTTGGAGAAAAGTCGAACTGTGAAACGAAACAAAAATATTACGTTATGACCAGCTGCTGTGTTTGCGACTTCACTTGATCTTCGGAAAAGCAGCAACAGGTCGACTTTTCTTTGCACCATTTAGCCCCAATCTGCGAGTAGTTCAGTGTCAAAATAGGTAGATCTAACAAAAAAGTTCTTTAAAATGTAACGAAAAGAAAAATACAATTTTTAAATTACATTTTGTGAATTCCGCTCTGGAAACTCGGAGCGGAACATCACTTTTAAAAATGAAAATTTAAGACAGTTTGATGGCAAGGGGCGGATTTGGGGGAAAAGGAAAAGGGAAAGGGTAAACTTTAGCGGAAGAGCTTTGAAGGAAGCACACGGTGCAGTAAATCCCTTTAACTCAAAAACTCACGCTATTAGAGACGTTGCGACCATAGAGAAACATGAGCTCGTCCAACATGCCAGTCCTCTCCCGCTCCAGGATCCGGTCCGCCTGGTCACGTGCAGAGTGCGTGATGTCCTCCGCCGTGCGTGGCCTTGACCTCTGTATGACGTAGTTGGTCCCCGAGAGTGTGGAGCGGAGAGAGACGCCGGAGCCACAACGTGGATAGCTCACAGACACGCTGCGGATGTACTGGGGGTCTGCCGTGCCTGGTGGGTGGAGATAAAAGTAAACGTACGCCCTTAAATTGAAACTCACCTGACCTATTTCTTCCTGTTCGAAGTCGGGTTCGCCATAAGAGGTTTCACTTGTTTGTTTTTTTGTTGTTCGTTTTTAATTGGTTTGTTTTTGTTTTGTATTGTTTTATTTTGTTTGAGTTGTTTTGATTGTTTCGGTTGTTTGGTTGTTTTTTTGGGGGGAGGGGTGTTTGTTGGTTGTTTTGTTTGTTTTGTTTTTGCTAGAAACGGTTTGGGCTTACAAACAGGAACGAAAACGAGCTGGAAAGTACACATTGTAAGTAAAAATCTTTATTTTAAAGCTTATTCAAGGCATGCCAGGCCTACCAGTACAGCAACACAAACAACAGTACTCACTGGTCATGGTGTGTGTTCCCCAAGTCTGAGTATGTATAGTATTTGTGCGCCTCCTGACGTCCTAGAGACTACTGGCGTATGGAGGTCATGGGAGCCTTGAGCTGTAGATGAAGGGGAAAGACGGATGTTATCCAAAGAGGTTGTAGATTTACAGTCGGGATAAGACAACACAAGAACGGAAATCTCGAAATCACTCATAGGTCGTACCATTTACCGTTCTCCGACTGATGTCTATTTATTTTGTGTTATCGGTTAACCCGAATTATTGATGTGTCGAACATAGTGTCAATCCCCGACATGTTTAAGTTATTAGTACCCTACTGAAGTACTTGAGCTCGTAGTAGTGACATCACCCACGTTAACGAACGGGGACTGTGTGAACGCATTCTGGGACGGTGTTCATCTAGAGCAAGAACAATAGACAAGTGAGAACTTTTTGAAACTCAAGTCTCGACGCCTGTACGTCAAGGCGGTCTTGTGAGAAAATCCATAAGCTTGCATTGACATGTGGGGGAAGAGCAGAGCTCGTGGGGATCAGGGTGGGGCTCCGATTGTTCATGTAAACGGGGAACGCCGGCAATGACTAAAGAGGGCAAGATCAAGGCCCACATGTCTGACCTGCATGACTTCACTGCCACAAGCTCTAACACAACGTGTAACCTATTCAGGCGTTATCACAAAAAGTCTGGAATGCTCATAATAATATACGCATTGTTCTGCGAGATTTTACCTATGAGCACACAGCTGAACTGGGTGAGAGCGTAGCAACAGCTACGGTTTTGGACCAAAAAGTCAAAGCAGCCTGCCTCTTAAATTTTCTAAACCATAGGGATGAGGATGAAAAGTAGTTGCCGTCAAGAAACCATCAGTATAACCACATCTCAGCCATCAGGGCTGCCTCAGCGTGGGTTTTCTGTTTCGTGTTTCGTTTGAATTTGAGTTTGGGTTAGAGTATAGAGAAGCACATTGAAACAATAACGGCCATATAGTGCAAGGAAGAAGCAAGACAGATAGACAGAAACAAGTTACAGCGGGAAAGAAAGTAATTAGGAATTATTAGTGGCGCCCTGAAACCACCCACTTGTGTGTTTGAAATGGATACGATTTCAATTTTTTTTAAAAAGACATTTACCATAATGTGTCAATTCGTACACCAGAACGTTCCTTATTACGCAACCATTTACTCTAAAAACTCAAATAAAACTTTATGGAGTTAGAAAATAATACCATGTTCATGCATAGACTTGTACTTTAACATCATAGACTATGCATTCTGACGTTGTTCTGTTCACCTTGGAGCACTCCATGCGACTCAATTTGGAGCCAAATGAAGAGCAAAATAGACAAAAAGGGGGAGGGGTGATGTTGGATCTCGGGATCTCGACTATAGTGAGACTAGTATTTTGCCCTTTAATTGGGCACCCATGATGTACACGCTTCGCAGCGAAGTTTTTATAGAAGGCAGAGAGTGGCGGCCACGACAGTGCACGGTGTAGGATATAATTCAAATCTATGTGTACATGTTATGTGCACGCTGCGTCAAATACAAAGAAATCGACGAGCTGGAGAAAGCAAAAAGACACTCTGTGTTCAGTATTGATCAAACACAGAACAACTTATTTCAATCAGTTAAAGCTTGGGATTTCATACAGGGATTCAATAGCCTGGATAAATAAAATTCGGTAATACAATTTCCAGCCTGAGTTTAATTCCATCTGTTATAAAAAGGGGAAAAATGGTTAACTTCTGTTGATTAGAAAATAGTTTTGGTGTAAAACTTTGCGTACAGGCTACCCATTTACTTGCTGAAGGAAGTTCTCGCTGTTGGCTACGTTGTATTTGTAAACACTGTTCTGTAGCAACACGTTATTTAGTATTATAGAAAGTGGCGATAATCCATCTTTTTACTCATAATTTGATGGCTAAGCAGTCCTTGATCTGGTGGTCGTTAAAAGCTAAAATACATAATGTACTTCCTTGACACGGAATAATGCGTGTGTGAGCGTGCGTGGGCATGACGTGTGTGTACGTGTGTGTGTGTGTGTTTGTGTGTGTGTGTGTGTGTGTGTGCGTGTGTGTGTGTGTATGTGTGAGTTCGTGTTGTGTGTGTATGTGTGTGTATATATATATATGTGTGTGTGTGTGTGTGTGTGTGTGTGTGTGTGTGTGTGTGTGTGTGTGTGTGTGTGGTTTGGGGTGGGGGAAGGGGGGCATTTTTCTAACAGCTAGAAGAAAAAAACCTTCGATAAATCTTTGTTTCTCGTTTGAACTTCAAGATGAATCAAGTTAATTTGACAGGTCAGTGACAGACAGTGACGTTATCTTCTCTCTGATTTATGGGAGTAAACTTTTTTTAGTTCTGTCATCCAAGTGTTAAAGCAGTTTACATAAGACTGATAAGGCTTGTCGGTTGTGAAAAACAAATCACGCTAACTCGCTAAGGCTGTCGAGGTTTCCCAATTCCGCTGCTTTGTCGAGCCCCTTGTCCTCTTTCTTTTATAGATTTGTGTTTGTTTATTGGATTTAGGCTACACCCCGAAACGTAACAACGCCGAGTCACCGAGAACCTATCATATAAAAAGAGCAAATCAATATTTGCTATATGTTCTGAACAGACTATTGTGGCAATGTTGTCAGGCCTGGTTGCTACGTGAATACATCAGTACCTTTATACACTAAGACAAAGAAAGAAAGAAAACAAGAAAGAAAGAAAGAAGAAAGAAAAAAGAAGAAGAAGAAAAGAAAGAAGAAAGAAAGAAGAAAGAAAGAAAGAAAGAAAGAAAGAAAGAAAGAAAGAAAGAAAGAAAGAAAGAAAGAAAGAAAAAAGAAAGAAAAAAAGAAAGAAAAAAGAAAGAAAGAAAAGAAAGAAAAAGAAAGAAAAAGAAGAAAAGCTTTTCTGTCACGCTGGACTCGAAGCAAATGGCCCTGATACGAAAACCCAACTGGACGTTCTGAACTTGGGTTGTTTTGAGGAGTTTATAAGGCTCGGTCCTATGGTGGATGTGAAACTTAAAATAACCTTACAGTGTTGAAAGGCGCATTGAACCTATACAATAATTTAGCAATCGTTTACATACCCGGTACCTTTTTTCCCACTAGTTCACGACTCTACATTTCAACACCACAACACGAATTTGTCGCCTAAATTTGTTTTTATGTAGACCGACCCCCGAAACAAGAAGAGCACAATTATACTAATCTCTTAACAGTTGTGTAATTTCACATCTTTATAATATTATTCTACTCTTCAAATATATCGAAAACAATTAATGTAATTAAAATGTTTCCGTACTTTTCACATTACCACAAGTAATTAAGCACCAGTAATATACCACAACAATAATATATCTAGATTAGATTACAATTTATAAAGATCTAGGGCTCAATCAAATGCAAGCAAAAGCATTGAGCGCTTTACAGCAATGACAAGATTACTGAGTATAAAACCTCATATACACAAGAACAGGGAAAAAACATTTCCTAGAACAAGAAAACCCGTTCAACAATACACAGAAGAACTTTCTCGGTCTTACATAAAATATTCTCGCTCTCAAAAGATAATTGTCAAATGGTTGGGTTTTTTTTAGATTCTGA